CTGGTGGTGGTCAAGCTGCTGGTAGTGTTAAAGTTCCTGGTGGTGGTCTAGCTGCTGGTAGTGTTAAAGTTCCTGGTGGTGATAAAGGTGTTGAATGTTTAAAAACTGATACAAGTTTTAAAGGTGATGATAATAATACAAATGCTAAAGGTTTAACAACTGATACAAGCGCTCATCATGGTGATTAATATATGATAAACTATGACTGTGATAAACTAACTATGTTTTATTATTTTTTTTTTGTTAAACTGCTTAAAAAAATACAAAAGAATATAGAGGGCAGAAGATAGAAAAACGAAATAATAATAATCAATCATATAGACAACAATTTAGTCCTACGTTTTAAGTTAGAAATGAGAGAAGATGAACGACGAAAAGATGTGTACAGTTGCTCGTATTATAGTATACAAGTTTTCATATTCTATGTTTAATATTCTCTATACCTACTGTAATAAAACGAAAATATCCCGCTTGAGTCATAGACCATTGTTCAAAACTATTGAATATTGCTGAACCAATCCATATAAATGCTGCAATAATTAACATTGTTATTGTTAATGGTACTGTAACACGTTGATTTCCACATAGTGTGTTATCATTTTCATCTATTTCATTCATAAATGTATTTGTTGTTTTTTTTTTTGTTGAAATAGTATTATTATTATCACCAATTGACCATCCATTTGAATCGATACAATGAATATTTATTCCACTTTCTTCTTCAAGTTTTATTTTCATTAATTCTTCTTCATCATAGAATTTTCTAAAATTTTTTTAAAAAATTTATTAAAATAAAAGTAAATTATTTATCTTACCCTTCATTAATATAATTAGCTGTATGTAGAAGCTTAGGAGACGATTTTCTTTCATTGATCTAAATCAAAAAATCAAAAAAGTTTTAAAGATTAAGTTTTAATAGTAAAAAAAATTACTTTTAAAGTCATATAGAAATCTTTTTGATCAATCGCATACATAACAGCCATATAAATATCACCTTTCTTGTAACATACTTGTAAATTTTGAGGTGTACGTTGATTCAATGGTAATATTTCTTTAACCTAAAAATGAAAGAAGTAAGAAAACAAAAGACATAGAATTCTTACTTCTTCAGCAACATTGCTGATGATGAATTTTTCCTTCAAAAGACAAACGTGAGCAAGTACCATAAAAGGATCATATTGCTCCTTAAATACAACTTTATGAAAATAAAGCATCGCACTTAAAAATGTTTTATTTTCCATGATAATAATTATTATCAATTAGTCAAAATCTTAAAAAAAAAAGACATTGTTCATTAAATTTATCAAATTGTGTTTGAGTTAATTTAATAACAAAACGAACGGTTATATTAGTATAATATTTCTAATTAAAAATAAATAAATTTATTTTTGCGGATTGATGATTTATCTTTATAATGAACAATTGTTAGTTCAATACAATTTCGTTTTGAATGAAGCAGCTTCAAGAACATTTTCTTCATGATGTTGTGTCCAAGTAGCAATTAGTAAATCAGTTATTTCAATAGACATTTCATTAAGTGATGATCGTAAAGATTGGATTAAATGGCATACTGAAGATATTAATCAAAGACGTGAACAAAATTTACCAGCTGATTATTTATATAAAAAAG